TCCACTGCAGCGATGAGCAGAGGCTGCACAGGTGAATGGCAGTTGAGGTTGTGAGTGATTTGTGATTCAGCCTTTGCACAACTGCAGTATCCAGTTCCCAGTAGCCAGTAATCTGTGCAGAGGTGATGGTGAAGGGAGAGGAAAATGGATTTGTGTGCCCTGTGACAAAAGAGTGAGGCACATGTAACCCTTAAGAGCTGCAGCCCTCTTTTCCATGGCAACGCCTAACAGTGCAGGTGATGTACAGGAGGTGCCTCAGTAAGCAGTAAGTCCACCAAAACTACTGATACATTTGGAAATCACCAGGAGACTTCACTTCACTTGAGTCTGCAAGTATCTCTGCTCTGCTAATACAGGTCAGTTACCATGCTCAAGACAAGGTTTGCTCAAGACAAGGTTTGAATGGTCCCCATTGTAGACCCTTTCCTGCTAAAATCCAGCCCTCAGTTCTTGGATCAGCCATAGTGGTTGGTGGGTGTACCCAGTGCTTTCCTTCATCTGCCAACACTGAGCACAGAGCAGTGGTTTGGCTGCCTGCACAGTGCCTCTCCGCTCTCTCATTAACCTCACTGCTAATGTTCCAAACTTTCCAGCTTATGGAAGGAACTGTCAGAGGCAATTTGCATATAGGCAGTGCTGCAGAAGTGCAAAGAGTTATATTTTCATGTGTTGATGAATAATTTAGCAACAGTACTGTAAAATTACTGCTTTAGTGCTGCTGGGGCCAGTGTTTGTACAAAGTGTTCTTCTAGCCCAGTTATACAAGTTAAAGCTTGCTGGGTTTATCCTATGCATCTGTCGTTAGAGAGAATTTTTCCAGGTTCAAGCTGGGAATCAGAGCAGGGTTTTTATTCCAGGACAGGGCCGTTCCTCATTCTCATTTATTGGTCTGATTGTCCAACCTATTTTTTTCAGTAGTCGGTTTTGCACTAGGTTGCATATATTAGTGCTGGTTTTCTCCACAGAGAAGGGTGCTGTGTAATGATTTTCCATATAAATGCCATGGTTAAATTATCCATCCTCATGGACCTTTGCTTTACATTAAGGAGCAATCTAAGAACTATTTTAATGCACAGTGACCACAGGTTTCACCCCCTACCCTGTGGAGGAAGCCTGCGCACTTACATGGGCAGGGAGCAGAGAATATGGACAGATTTAGATGAATCTCATTTTGGTGTCAAGTTGGAAATTGTTCCTTTGAGATTCAACCTCTTCTATGCTCAAATTGGAATTAAAAGATAAGGGAATGAAAGCAAAGAGCAATATTATTGCCACCCAAAAGCATGCTTGTAAGGATAAAGTGAGATTGAAGTGCTGTGGTAATTCAACACCAAGACACTTCCAGAAATGGGGAAACTCGCAGGTTTCCTTAGGACTCTGCATCTCAGCTGCTGCTCTGCTGTATTCTACAAGTGTTGCCAAGAGATGCTTAGTTGGAAATGCAAATACGTTCAAGGCTGAAGGATCAAAGAGCAATTAAATTAAAAACTGCTGACAGGTCAATCTTAATAGTCATTTCCATGCTGAAATAAGTCAATAAATCTTAGCTTGCAATAAATCTTACCACATAAAGGTGGGCTTGCATAACAGGAAAATGTAGTAAAATATAGCAATATATTTTATGCAAATGCTTTTTTAAAAGTAATGAGCAGCATGTTTTATTCATCTTGTCCTGGCATCAAAGCGGTCAAGAAGACATTGGACTTCTGGAATGGGTTAATCCTTTGCAGCAGCAGTATGCTGAGCAGGCAGAATGTCTTCTATTTATATTACTATTTACTTATATTTGTAAATACAAGCCTTAATTGAGCTCCTGAGCCCTACTGTGTTTGGTACTGTGCAAACACAATGCTACTGTCCCTGCCCCACAGACCTCTACAAATGAGAAGAGTCAGAAGAGGAGGATAGGAGCAAAGCAGCCTGGTGACTTGCCTGAGGTCACCCAGGATGTCAGTGGTGGAGAGAGAACTGGAGCTTGGAACTCCTCCTGTGTCATGCTTTGGCCTTGTTCTCCAAGTCACACAGCTTCCTGGCCTATATACTAAATACAGTAAGTACAGATCAAACAAGAAACAGACTCAGCCTGTCATTGGTATAGTGCAAGCTTCAGAAAGGTAGGGAAGATCTGCTGGCTTTCATACCAGACACCTTAGTGTACCCCTGCGTTTTTATTTATTCTCCAGATGTTCAAGGCCAGGTTGGACAGAGCCTTGGGTGACATGGTTTAGTGTGAGGTGGTCCTGCCCATGAGAGGGGGCTTGGAACTAGATGATCTTAAGGTCCTTTGCAACCCTAATCATTCTATGATTCTATGTGTAAAGCATGGAATATTAGGTATCTCCAACAAACACATAGTACAAGAGGGAGTTGGAATCCAGCTGCTAAATTTAAAACATATTTTTTGCATGGTAGAAGTTCCCTGATGGTTAAATAGCCTGTATCTCCATTATAGCTTCCTGCCCACCTGTAGCTATACTGCCCGCTATCCCCACGGGAAGACTGGAGAGGAGAAAGTTCCTGATAATGCTGCTTCAACAGTGCCCAAGTGCTTTAACAAGGCTCTTTCTATTAGCCCCTGTATAAACACAGGATGGCAGCCCATGCAGGCAGCTCCAGGTGGAGGGAGCACGGATCGTTTTAAGTCATTTGCACGTTCTAAATCACTGGGCACGATCTTTGAAGAGTAGATCTTGTGTTCCACACTGTGCTGAGGAGGCAATGGAGACTGTTTCAGGCTAATAAAATTCCCAAAAAGTGACCGGGCACAGGAGAAGTCCTGTTCTCAGGGAAAACCCTAGCATCAGCACAGGCTCACAGCTCACCCTTCTTTTCACAGTGGAAAGACTGGGGATTTTAATCCCAATTCTGAAACAAGTCAAAACTTGGTGAGCACAGTAATTGCACCAGTAAAGAAAGGGCTTGGGGACAGCCTGTACTTTCTGTTTTCCTTCCCCCATTTCTCTCTTTTTTTTGCGCTGAATCAGAAGAGCTGTTCTTGGGTTTGTGTGGTCTCCGGCAAGATGCAGTACCTCTCTTCCAGAGTGTTTTTCCTGGCGCTAACAGACCACACAGAGCCCAACCCAGGGTAACAATGTGCTGCATGTTCCCAAAACTTGGAACAGAAGATGAAGATTTCTTGTTTTCCTCAGGATGCTGATCTGATGTTATGGTGCCAAAGGTGCAGTGTGAATGAGATTTCAAAACTGATTTCAGCAAGCTGAAAGATGCTGTGTACATGAGGCCCTCAGTGACATGGTTCAGTGGTTTTCTTGGCAGTCCTGGGCTAGTGGTTTGACTTGATGATCTTAAAGGTCTTTTCTAACCCAGTTGATGCTATGATTCTAAGTTCCCCTCCCATACCTTTTACTTTAACCAGGAGAAAGTTTTCCACCATTACCACAAGTGGGGAAAATGTGCATTTTCCTCAAATGCCCAGGACACTAAATTGTCACCAGAAATCAAAGGTGGCATTAGAAAAAATAGGCTGACATTCCAGGGGAGGTTTTTCTCAAGAGCAGGTGACCTTATCCTCCATGGCAGCAAACCAGTCCAGCACTGGCGTCTGCCCGTGAAGAACCGAGCGGAAGGTGTAAACCTGGTTTTGTAAGAAACACGTCTCAGCTCTACCTGACCTGTGCCTAGCAGCAGGTTTTATTTTTAGGTGTGTGAGGCAGAATTATCGGAGATGAAGAACCATGAGTCAGACCCGCAGGATCATGGGACCAGCCACCAGTGTGATGAGGGTTGCATTTCCCAGTTTTTAAGGGAACAGGTTCTGCCGTGTGGTTTGGTCCGCCTGATTTCTGAAGCTCCTCTGTCTCCCACTGGGTTGTGGGTACAACTGTTAGCTCCGTACCCTCCTGCCTCGTCCCCCTGGCTGTGCTGTGGGGTCTGGCAGGGAAGCCCAAACCAGCCCCAAAAGCAGCGGGTCAAGAAGAGATCTTGTGTCAGCTCTCCGCTCAGCCAGCCCTAGTGAGCACAGCTCCTCACCCAGCCCCTGTCCACACCACTAACTCCACACTGTGTATTAATTGCTGCTTAAAATGGAAAAGAACCAGAATAAGAAGGATTAAAATACAATATTCCCTGCAAGCAGCGCATCATGCCGGGAAGCCTCCCTGCTTTTCGGACTACTGAATATTTAATCCACATTTGCCAGTGAGTACTGAAATGTAATCCAAGCCAGTGCTCAAAAAATATCCAGCCAGATTACTTAGTAAGATGTTTTTTATAGTATTGAGGGGGAAAAAAAGCAGCCTGTCTTATTTTGCTCAGGCCTGGTCAACTCATAGGTTTTGTACTGGTACAACTATTTCTCTTAGAGGTGTGATATTTTTCACTGAAATAGATAAACCAATATAACCACTAGTTGGGGACACTGTTGTACTGGCACAAAGGGGCTTTATACCGCTACAGCTTATTCGCCTGCTTGTATGGAAATAGAAATTTCAGCATAAATAAGTATATTTATACTGGTATAACTGTTTCTACCCTAGGGAAATTATACCATTTTTATTATACCAGTACAGCTACAATTTTGTGTGTGGCTGAGCCTTCGCAGTGGTGCCCCTTCTGTGTAGGAAAGCCCTTGTGGTGACCAGTGACTTGCTCTGCCAGAAAACTGCAGAAAGTCAATGAGATTATTCAGGTATTAGTTACTGCACTGGATCAGGCTATCAAAATCTGGTAGAGGAGGAGGGTTGCTTTCATTTACATTTGTTGGCTGTAAAATAGTCCGTGTATTGACTGGCAATGGCTTTGATGATATCTAGGGCAGCATAGAGAGTCTGGAGAAGAGAAGGCTCGGGAGGGACCCGATCACTCTCTATAACTACCTGAAAGGAGGTTGTAGTGAGGTCGGGGTTTGTCTCTTCTCCCAGGTAACAAGTGACAGGACGAGGTAACGGCCTCATGCTGCACCAGGGGAGGTTTGGACTGGATATTCGGAACAATTTCTTCACAGAGAGAGTGAGCAGGCATTGGAAGAGGCTGCTCAGGGAAGTGGTGGAATCACCATCCCTGGAAGAGTTCGCAAACTGTAGATGAGGCCCTCAGTGACATGGTTTAGTGGTGGTCTTGGCAGTCCTGGGTTACCCCAGGTTGAACTTGATGATGTTAAAGGTCTTTCCCAACCTAGAAGATTCTATGATTGTATGATAGGGGCAGCAGACAGGTAATATGAAAGTCAATCTTTCATTGCACATTACAAGAGTAACAGTGACTCTTACAATGTCTGCCTAAGTTTGTTTTACAGAAGAATATAGTTTCGGTAGCAGAAGGGTGTTGGTAAGTGTCTGTCTGCTTTGGAAATGAGCGTCCTTCCCTTGCTCACAGAAGGCTGTCTACAGTTTGCCCCAGCACGATGTAGAAGCAGAAAGACATTATCCTGTGAGAAAGTTGCTTATCCAGTTGCCATCACTTACAGACAGTAAAAGCTAAGCAAAAAAGGAGAAATACAACTTTTAAGGATAGTCAGCAGTTATGTGGAGCTTTTCACCTTAAAATGCCTTGCACACTCTAGTTTATATTTAAACTCATATAGCTAGAGTACATATGTCCGAGTCTATCTGTGTGGGTGCCCTGTCCTTTTTTATGTACTGTACATAAACATACAAGGAAGATAGACAACACTCAGCAGGTCAGTATATGTAACAAGAAAGTAAATGAAGTGTACATAGCAATGGTTGGGAAACAGTTGATCCCCTGCCATCAGGACTCCTGTGGGAGGGGATGGAAGGGAAGGACATTGTCTCACAGCCTCTAGTTGCACTAAAAAATAGAGTCAGCCTCTCCATTTATGTGCTAAGAAAGGCAACTTGAAGAATGGGGTTGAAATTACTTTTGAACACCTGCTGAAAGTGTGACTACTTGTGGTATTATTGATAGAGTATGCAAGTTGGTGACCCGAGTCCTTTCCTACCGTATTCAAGTTCACAGTTTTCCTCTCTTTGCCTTTAATGATTTAGAGGTCGTTTTGGCAGTGTGGAACAGACATTAATTCACCTGCTGTCCTGAAGGCCATTATGAGAAAAATCACAAAGTCAGAGCAGTGGCTTGATTTTTATGACTGAAGTCTTCTGCAGACATGAGCCTATTATTCAGCTGCAGAGTTGTGTGGCCCTCGAAGCCGAATTGCAGGGGTGAAGGTCACTGCCTTGCCAGTAATCACATTGCTGTTACATGAAGTTTTAATCAGCAAATACTGGGCAAATATAGCTCTGGTACTGTACTGTTAAATATAATGGAATTTGCCCCACAGATGACTGTAGGTCCTTGTTGTTAAAGCAGCTCTGCCTGTTTACCTTTCAGCTGCAGCTTAAACGTATGAAATGTGCCATAATCCAGCTTTCCCCACATCAGAGGCATGAAGAAACCACTTTCCTGTAGCATTGCATATAAAGAGGTAACATTTCTTTATTTGCCTCACATATCAGAATTCAAGGCAATCAGTCATTCATTCTACATCATAAATAATACATGTACCCAACCAAACACAAAAGGCTGTACTTCTGTCTGCCTTCCCTCCGCACCTTAATAAGATCATCTGAATTTCAAGATGAAATGTGCAGTCTCATATTTAAATCATTAGGTCCCTGTGTGGTATTTCATTTCATTTTTGCAAGGTCAGGGTGGCCAACATGGTCAAAGAAGGAAAGAAAGATAAAGCCATTATCAGCAGAACAAATGTAACTGGTTCATGTTGAAGAAGAAATGGGTGACCCATAGAGGGTAAAGACTTGACAGAGATTTGCAAGGGAGCAGTAAATCAGTGGTTTCAGACCACCTCTGTGGTCCAGTGTCCCACAGTAATGTACCCTCAGCTCCTCTGTCAGTCCTTCCGCAGGTTCTGATGGGGTTTGCTGAATGGGTAGCAGTCCAGCTTCTGAAATGTGTGTGGCAAAACTGGGGAAATCTGGAACAATCACCCAAAGGGAACAAAATTTCACAATCTTAGTATGTGGCCGGAGCTAAAACCTCCTGGTTTCTGAGCAGTTTCTGGATGTGATTCCCTCACTGGGACAGAGGATGGTCCTGAGACCAATTTTTACCTCCTCCTAGGCTGCTTCTGTGACCCAGTCACCTCATTCTTGCACATCCCAGTTTCCAGTCCTTCATACAGGCTATTCCCTCTGCTGGCCTCCCCTGTCCTATCCGTTTCAAAAGCAACCCTGCAGAGAATGAGGAGGTAGCTGAACTGCTGGGCCTTTGCTGAGCACTGGGGAGGTCCAAGTCTTTGGGATCAGTTGTGAGCCTCCCAACATATCACTGTTATATAAGGCAATCAGTTTAACTCATATGTTCTAGCTTCCCTGGGTGTGAAACTGCGGGTGTTTATGGTGGGTTACTGGCTCATAAAGGTGTTGTGGGTAATGTTTGTGAGGCACTTTGTTAATTAAAGGTGGTAAGTTGTCTTTACAGCCAGAAGATCTCAGCAGGGGCTCAGGTAAATGCATTTAGGCACTAAGTAAATGTTTCAACTCTTACTAGCACAAGCAGGAGCAGGACCTCGAACACAATCCAAGAGTGAGAAAAAATCTGGCAGGCAAAGCACAATATATTCTCATGTCATCTTTATATAACCGTTTAGCCAAAAAAAGGTCACCTATAAATCCAGATAGCCCCAGACAACTGAACTATAAAGCTAGTTTACAGAAAAGGTTTCCAAAGCCCACATGATCTTGTATGAGATTAAAAATGGATTAAAATGTTACCTTGGACCACAATAACCTGATCAATACCAGGACACCTCTCAGCAGTGACAGCTTAGGCACAGGATAGCTGCCGAAGTGCATTATTAGAGCTCGTAGGATAGGAAACACTAGCAGAAGTGTCATGCCTTGCCCCATAGTTATATCCACAGTACATTCTGTCCAGCTAGTTAAGACTTCTGTGATGCCCAAAGCTGACCTCCCTCTTCTGTCATGCCCCTTACAGTATCTTTCAGGAAGAAGAGAGATCACAAATAAATGATCTTTAATGGGAGCTGCCTAGGTTGCGGTGGTGGACTACCAACTGCAACCACAACACAGCTTTGATCCATGTAAGCTCATCCTTGGGCAGGTGTTTGTCCTTTCCCCATTTCAAGCTACTCTAGGGGCTTCCTGGTGCAGTACTGAGCAAAGCACGATGTGCTTTGTGCCCACTGTGATGCTGGATGCAGGAGCAGAGCTTGGCAGCGGGGACAGAGCCCATGGCGTCGCTGCGTGGGGAAGAGGTCAGAGGTTTTCAGAATTCAGTGTCTCCTCACAGCCAGTGCAGCCAGACCATGGTGGTCAGCAGACCGCTGACCACAGAGCAGTCACTGGCCCATGCTGGAGATTATTCAGGAGAGAAATAGGTTGTATTCCCCTCCAATTATCTTTTTATTGCTGCAAGCAAAAAAGAAACAAAAATCCTTTAATGATATGTTTTTTCAAGTCCATGGGCTCAAGATAAACCAGCAGGCTTGAGAAAAATATGTCCATAGAGGACAAAGTGAAGAATTATGACTATTCAAAACACCACATATCCTTTCCTACTGCTTTTTCTCCCTTCCCTAAGCTGCTGAAAGAAGATAGGCTGACAGACATGCGCCTGAACAACCCTTTGTACATGGCATATCTAGAAATTGAAATAACTATGTACAATGAGTTACATCGACTGCCTTATACCTAAATTAATCACAACCAGATGGAATGGGGAAGATGTTACACACGCACACGCACACATACCTGCTGAGGAGGTTACAAAGGAAACCTATAAAGTGATGGATGAAAAAATAAGATTCCTCTCTACACTTGCTTAAATCTGCATCTTCTGCAGTGCTTATCTGAACCCTGAGCTCTTAGAGGCGTGATAAGCGAGCCAGACCTATTAAAGCCTCGTTTGAACTCTTCAGAACGTGCATGCAGCCCTGTGTCAGCTGAAACCCTGCTGTCCCCAGAGCCCCCAGGCTCACGCAGAAGCATTAGCGATGTCTCAAGAAGCGTGGTGTGTTGCTTCGCTGTGCTGCACCACTTCCAGGCTCCTCACCCACAGTCAGTGAGAGCACACATCTCCTCTCTCTGTCCTGCAAATACTGCTCAAGCATCCATAAATATTTTCTTGTCTTCAGATGTTGACTCCCAGCCCAACTGCATCCCTGGGTCTTGTGCCACACATTTTAAGCCAAAGGTTGAGGTTTTCCTCAGAAACTCCCTCCCTAGCTTCCCCTGCTCTTCCTGGCAAGCAACCAGCTCAGCTGCCAGGATAACCCTGGCTCCTCCTGGAAAACAACTAAATGAGCCTGGCTTTCTTCCTCCTGGAGGCAGCAGGTCTTTCCAGCTGCCTGGATGGCTCAGGCTTCCTACATTCGTTCTGATGCCCAAGCAAATCTTATGGAGGAAAGGAGGAGCCACAAAAAGAGCAAGAGCTGCCTTTCAAAAGCAGCCCCATGCAGTGTCCCTTCTGGACTGTGGTGAGGCATTTGGGGGTGGCCCAGGGCTGCTCTCACTGTGCCTCAGTGAGTGGATTCACTGGTGATGGCCTTCAGCCCCTTTTACACACACAGTCCTAGAGCCAGCTGGGATCCAGGCCAGTTTCTAGAGTACTTATGGTCCTAAGGGGTCATTGGATAGAAGAGAGTCAAAAGGGCACAGCAAGGACCTGCTCATACTTGGTCTCACCTAAGCGTTGTCCCAGTAGATGGAGGTTAGTGAAGGAGTCACAGGTGCTCTTCATGGCCTGTGGCCTCGGTTCAATCCTGCCACAGGCTGATTAGTTAAAACCCCACCATAACCGGTTTGCCTCACAAATCAGCTCCCCCGAGAGTGTCAGCTTTGCCCTCAGACTGGAGACAAAAGTTTGTCACTGGCACAGCTCGCATCTTGCTCCAGCTGTGTATGGATGGTTTATGAGCTGTCATTCCCTTTTGATAGGTTTTGCCTATGTGTTGGTCATTAGCCTGTGAGCTTCCTAAAGCAAAATTTCCCATGGGGATGAAGAGCTGTAAAGCACTTAACGGTAAAGCCACACTTTACTGTTAATCCCATTCACAGACCATCACTTTTCTAGCACTAAGTTTTGGAGCCTTAATAATAGCTGAAATGCTGTTTCAGTCCTTCCTACCCTTGTTTAAGCCCAGTCAAGAAGGGTTCATGAACAGTTTATGTCTCTTCTGCCCTTTGGAAATGTTGGAGAAATGGTGCAAAACTTGAGACTTGAAACAAGGGCTAAACATTGACTTTCATTGACTTCATCGTCAACCACAGCGAGCTCCCAGGTGTGGCCCTGCCTCTTCTCTACAAGTTCAAACCTTATCCCCATGGCAGGCAGCTGCTGCAGCAGGACTGAAGGAGTGTTTTCTCCCTTATGCGGAGATAGGAGCTCGCTTGCAGCCGTGTAGCTGAAGAGCGTATTTGCGCAGCAGAATAGCTGGTAGCTATTGTGGTAGAAATGGGCTCTGTAGTCTGCTCAGCCTTACAGGTAAGTACCTGCCTGCTTAACAAGCTGTTGTTTTGGAGCAATCTTGTATTACAATAGTCCAGGCTTAAAAGCTTTGATGTCTCTGTGATAGAAACTTCTGCTCAACACAGAGTTTTTTCCCTCCTTTATTATTCTAAAAGTACATGAAGAAGTCCTAAAAGGTTTGCTTCGTTTTTCTGACCTGCAGGGTAGGTTTATGGCAGCCTTGTCCATGCCTGCTGAGAGGACTAATGAAGTGGATTGGGAGATTTCTCTACCACTTGCTGCAGAGGCAAGGTCATATATTTTTTAAGACAACTTCTCACTCCACTCCTGGTAGCTCTGTGTGTATAAACAATGCTGGGCACATTTGGGTTCACCTGCATGGTTGCTGTGCTAGCAGTAGAAGTACTCCGTGGGCTCCCCTGCTCCAAGGCACGGACGGTTGACTTTCCCGAAGTCCTCAGTGCTCACATCAAGTAAGATAGCCATGCCTGAAAGTCTGAGCTGTAAGAAGGAAAAACCAGAGAGAGATAACCTGGATTTCTGAGCTAAGGCTTAAAGAAAACAGAAGAAAGCAGCTTTCCTATCTTCTATGAGATGAGAGAAGCGGCCAGGCAGGTAGACTGAATTTTTTGTTATGGTTCTCTTTAAGGCCTTTAAGGAGTTGAACAAAAGGCACAGTCTCCTATCTCTCTTTCTTTTCTAAGTATACTGAATATAATGAGTGGTTTTATCTGATTAAAGAAGCAAAATGCAGACAGTAGGGGAAAAGATGTATCATTTTCTGTGGGATTGCTCCCTGCTGGTTTCTGTAGCCCCAGCACCAGGCTGTAAGCCTTTGGACATGATAAACTCTGTGACCTCCTCATGGGAATTAAAGGTAGTTTCATTTTTTCTTTCTTTCCTATTTTTTTTCCCCTTACTGCTCCAAGTGATATGAAGCTTGGCTGGAGACATTAAAGAGCATTAAATTACTCAGTTTCCAGAGCTCACTTTCCTTTTTAGAAGGACTGCCTCTCTTTCTTTTTTTCCAGCTTGATAATTTGTTGCTGCTGTCTGGAAAAAGGTCAGGCTTGCTCACATTGTGCAGCACTTCTCAGACTCCTGGGTATTTTCTTAGATGGGAAAGGGCTTGGTGCTAACACCCTCCACTCTATACAGGTTCGGTCTTGCACTGAATATTGGAAAAACTCCTCATGGTTGCATTAGTAGGATTTAATTCCATTTGTAGAGGAAAATTGCTTGTAGAACATATGCAGACGTGATTTCTGTATCAAATAGAGATGACATCTTAATTGCTGCTTGTGGACAAACCCTCTACTTCTAGAGTAGAGGCAGCCCCTGCTGAGTCAGCCTCTGTCCTGGCCTGAGCACAAAGGCCTGAACTTGTCTCTCTAATTTGCTTCATTAGTTATATATATGATACTGGCAAAGCTAAAGCAGTGACCCTTTCTAAAGCGGTGTGATAGCTTGGGTCCTTTCCTTCTGACACTGAACAAGGAATTGTACCAGGAGAAGGAAAACTGTGGTAAGCCCAAACTTGCTGTTTCCCTGCAGCACTGTAGTACCAGAGCTTCCCTGTTTGGATAGTGTTTTTTCCTACCTATCCTCTACACTTCTTTACAACTCATACCTGCAAGACAGGCTTTTTAACATATCTTCAACATACCCCGTCCATGGCCATGCTGGTTACAGCATGGGACTTCTTGGAGCTTGTCCATGCAGTGCAGCAGCCCATCATGCTGTGAAGCAGCTCTGAACAAGGAGCATGGCCTCCTGCAAAGACTCAGTGCTCACAGCCACCTTGCTGGCTGCCCTAACAGGGAGATGCTGTTAGCTCCACAGAGAGCTGCAGCTTAGAAAGGTGGAGAGAGCCATTTCTCAAAAGAGCTTGAGGAAGAGGCAGAGACATGAACAGCTCCTCCATAAATGTTTTGTAAAGACCTGGAGGAGGAGCTTACACCCAGGTCTGGGGAGGAAGCACATTCTAGGCTAGAAGTGGATGAGTGGCTTGCTGTGCACTTTCAGGCTGGGTCAGCACCATGGGATGCCCCAGCAGTCCCATGGCTCTTGGGAGATCGCATGGTCCCAAAAGGGTTTTGCCCGACCTGACACAAATTTTCAGGATAGGAAATGTGACCTATAAAGAAAAAGTGGATAACCATGTGCCTCTTCTCCTGTCCCTCCATCCTGCCTCCAGATACCACATCACTTCTTACAGCCATGCCACTGCTTGGTCTATTGACTTGGTATATTGACTGTCTTCCACCAACTTCAAAGTGTCCCGCATTCTCATAGCCTTCCCACCTCAGCAGCGTATGCCTGTCTCACTGCTGTGCCCTGAATCCTAGCATCACGCTCTCCCCAGGATTTCTGGAATGGGGTTTCCAGTGACCCTGGATAAATACTGGTATTTCTTGCATGATTCAATAACATCAGAAAATACTTGAGTTTCTGAAACGAGACTGACTGGTACGCTTCATCTTATCAGCCCAAGTAAATAAAAAGTACATTAGGAGTTATTCTCCCAGATTAATGAGCCTAATTTAAACTGCTGCTATTTTTAAAGTCCGTATTTTAAGTTCTCTGTTTCTTTCTTCATTTTGGAGTCCTTTCAGTGCAATTGGGAAGACTCAGAGCTACTGTTTCAAAGATAAAAGTTGGTCTTCAGATGACATGATTGCATGCATGCAGTGTGGGCTGAGAGCAGAAAAAGAAAACCATAATGCAAAACTTGTGCTGACATTCTGAGCTGTCAACGTTGAATACTTCAAGTTAATTAGAAGACCAGACATGTCCAGCCCAAATGGATATTTGATTTACTGCATACCATCACAAATATATACTTATAGGTTGTTTAATCACTGTTTCTGAAGCAATGTAGGGACAGCAGTAACTGCAGGCAGGCATACTGTGTGGTGGGGATGGGGTTGGGAATGGGAATGGAAACCCCTTGTTCTTTGTTGATTTTCAACAGAGAAGCCACCAGGAAGCATAGTAGGAATCAGGAAATCTTGTTCCCATCATCTTTCACTGGAGCTTACATCTTTGGTAACCAGATAACCATGTGGCTGAGCTTTTTGCAGCTAAAGCATTTTGGGTGGCCTTGAAGCTGGGTATAGCCTGCTCTACAAAGAATGGTGGTTGTGCTGGAGTTCCCTTGCATGGAGCACCTGCCTACACTTACTCCTCATGGCAGGACCACACAGTTTGCAAGCAATGGAAAAAGTCTCCACACAAGAAACATGCTGCTCTGTGGCTTTCACATCTGCTTGGTTTTAATCCCAGCTCTGCCCTACTGCCCTTTCTTCAAGTCCATGAGGAGCAGAGCAATGCTTTGGGGTAGATTAAGGCTTTCTGCATCAGGAGGTTGGAGACACAAGTACAGGCTGGGCATGTGGTGTAAGAGAGGGGTCAGGGTCAGGCACAGGGGCTAAATGAAGCAGGAAGAAGGTTTTCCATTCCCCGAAACAGGTAAGTGAGAAATTAAGCCTCCATATGAGCTGAGGAGCACTGGCCTAATGCTGGGCTGGGACAGGACTGGGAAGTCACTGGTTGTGCCCCAGCCCTGAGCAAACCCCCCTGGGGAAATGCAGGGAGGGGATAGGGAAGGGACATGCAGTTTTGGCACTGGATCTGTGTGGCTCTGGATCCGTCCCTGGCAGTTGTGCCCTGGGGTGCAGCAGACAGACCCCCAATGGGCAGTGGGAGAGCCAGGGGAAGCGTTGGGAAGGGGGAGGCTCCAGCAAGGGCCATGGGAGGGAGGCAAGCCCCAGCGAGGCACTATTTTCAGTGCGCGCTGTCAGGCAGGATTTTCTGAGGACAATATATTTCCCCATGGTGACAGCTCTGGCAGGCGGTGCGAGCGTGGCTGGTCCAAGCCCTGCTCAGGGGCTCGCTTCCTAATTAGGAAGAGAATTTAGGAAGAGATCCTGATTTTTTGTTGTTGTTTACCAAAACCTGGGGGTTCACCTCGCTAGAACAAAGCAGTCCTGCAGCATGGACACCCTTGGTAAACACCTGCCACAGCAAGGTTGATGGCCAAAGTATCATCTGTGGAATGAATGGTCACACAAAGACTCTGTTTACACACAAAGGGATGCACAGGCTTGGAGCTGACAAATGAGCAATGGTTCTGAAGATGTACTTAAAGCAGAAGACTGAACCTTATAGAAGAAGTAGCCATACTCAGAGTGCAGGAGCATGAGAGAATCAAGCGAATTAGGAGGCAAATGTAAGTAAAATACAATTCTTTTAAGGAAGGTGCTTTATACACAACCAATAATTAACTTGTGGAACTTACTGCCCCAGCTGCTATTATTGAGGTCAGCAAAGAAATAATAAGATTTAAAAAGGCCCATGAATAATAAAAAACACCAAACATTTTACTCAGTAGAATAACAAATTACAAGGGATATAAATCACCACACTTTAGATCATAAATAACAATAAATTTCCCAGCGATTAGAAGGCAACTTTTGCTAGGGGCAGGTTCCTTGGTAATTGCTCATTTTAGCACTTCTCACCCTTTTTTTTCCTCCAAGCATCTGGTGCTGGCCACTGCCTCAAAAAAAGAAATGGGTTTAGATGGCAAGCAGGCATTTTCTGTGCATGCTGCATTGTAGTGAAGAAATTCAGCTTCTTCCCTTAGATAAGAACTATTTAAGAGGGAGTTTCCTTTGCAGAAACACTGCAATAGCAGCTGAAAACCTGCAGTGTGCTATTGTAAGCTGTGATATTGGGAAAAAGCCTTAAGTAAATAAATGTTGCATTATTTTCATCTTTTTATCTTTCCTAGGACAGTTCCTAGTTTTTGTCATGATTTTGTTTGTTTATTTGTTTTGGGCTTTTTAAAGTAAATCATAGAACAATTTCAAGGTAAACACTGTGCTTAGACTATTGTGGTTTTGTGGCATTTCTTCTGGCTGCTCTGTCAGACAAGCTGATTTATAGACGGGATAAATGCACGTTGCTTCAGTTGACACACCAGAGAACCGAGGTTCAAGCTATTTAGATTC